TATTCTTATTTGTTCAGATGGAGTTGAGGCGATTCGATGCCACGTGTGCAAGTTCTCGGGGCCCCCGGATGACTGGGGCATCAATTGCAACGACCCCTTCAACATCAACGGAACACTCAGGGAATGCTCGTTGGAAATGTTCTACGACTCGAGCGGAAGCATCCCGCCCCCCAACATGACGGCGTTTTTCTGCCGCAAAACCGTGCAAAGAGGTACAGTACTGCACTGTACTGCTGAACGCCGTGATATAACATTCCAATGTTTTCTTTACTGAAATTTGCAATGAATAACATTTATTTTTCAAAACTTTGAGGTCTCTTGGACAAATTTAGCTTTCTATATATGCTCACAAAAATATTTTATTATTAATTCACCGGAATTATTTTCGATGTAGTTCCTCAATTCCATCATTATTGCTGCCTACAATTCTGTATATGATGAAGACTTATTGTCGTGTGCTTGATCTTGGACCGCATTTAAAGCTAAAACATGAGATATCGTGCGGTTTTCTTCTGCACAGTTAGTTTTCTGTGTCTTCAAGCTGAGGACAATTATTTTCTTCCATTTTGGGGGGGAAATTTATCCTCATCTTTGATCATTACAAAAACGAATGAAATATTATTTCCATTGAAGTCTAAGGGAAAACATGATCAGACATGCGGACGGTTAATCGTATATATGTGGACAAGGTCGAAGCAATAATTACGATCGCATCTCGTGGCCCCACGTACTGTATACAATACCGTGTACAGTAGGCCTCCCATCTATAACGATTTTTTCTCTATAACGATTTTTTCGTCTCACAGACACGGGGTTCTCTCTCAATTTTACGGTGGTTCTCTACGACGAAAGTCTCTCTAACGAATTTGTTTCTGGTCCCGTGCATTAAGAACATCTATCTCTCTCCCTCTCTCTTTCAGGTGGACACACATGTTCCCGACCGAGTATTCAACCCTCTAAAAATTTTCATCTAGGTTCCCTCAAAGTTGTTAAATTAAAATAGTGACCGTAGTAAATAGCCCCATAAATAATGTGCAACTCTTGAGCTTTCCGCTGATTTCAACGCATCTCTTCCTGCAATAAATCCAAACACTGCCAAAAATTGAGTCCTGTTAGTTGATTTGGTATATACCCTGTGACTCATGGCTGTTCCCCACAGCAAAGAACAACCGAAATGGGATCAATTTTGAGGACAGGGACAGCCTCAATCCTGCCGTCAAAGAGCAGCTTATTATAATCAACTAACAGAACTTGATTTTTGGCACTGCTTTGATTGCTTGGCAGGAAAAAACTGCATTTAAATCAGTGGAGGGTATATATGTTGAGAGGCAATGAAGTCTTGCCAAATGATGGTGCTTTGTGAGCGAGAATTTCTTTTGGAAGTTTCAAAACCCCGTTGGATCTATAACTCGAAAAAGTCTCAATACAATACAGTACTGCACTTATGAACCAACCCTCATATATGCAGTACGTGTATTATACATGCAGGGATGAACAGTAGGCAAATACAGTACAGTAGTTGAACAGGCAGCACTTTTTTTTAATGAATTAGAACAAGGACGTTGTTTGCTTGTCATCCAGCAGAGAAGTGTAAATATATGATCTTGAAATAGCTATACTGTATAGGTATCATCAGCAGTCCAGTATTTTGGTCATGATTATGAAGATCGTTCGTTTATTGATGGTGGGCTGGCTGGCTAGCTAATAATACTGCACTATATACTCTGGTGATGATGATGATGTTGATGTTGATGATGATGATGACGTATAGTCATGTGACGATATGAATGCATGATGCAGTGAAGGACAATTCTTGTAGATAGAGAGAGGGAGAGAGAAAGTCCACCTGTGTGTACAAGGGCTGGCTCATAAGTTGGGAGATTTTTAAAAGTAGATCCAAGGGAGTTTCAACAATTTAATTTTATCACTGGCATCATTTAATAGCCCCATCAATAATGTGCAACTCTTGAGCTTTCCGCTGATTTCAACGCATCTCTTCCTGCAATAAATCCAAACAGTGCCATAAATCAAGTCCTGTTAGTTGATTTGGTATATACCCTGTGACTTATGGCTGTTCCCCACAGCAAAGAACAACCGAAAATGGGATTAATTTTGAGGACAGGGACAGCCTCAATCCTGCCGTCAAAGAGCAGCTTATTATAATCAACTAACAGAACTTAATTTTTGGCACTGCTTTGATTGCTTGGCAGAAAAAAACTGCATTGAAATCAGTGGAGGGTATATATGTTGAGTAGTGGCAATGAAGTATTGCCAAATGATGGTGCTGTGTGAGCGAGAATTTCTTTTGGAATTGTCAAAACTCCGTTGGATCTATAACTTGAAAAAGTCTCAATACAATAATGTACTTATGAACCAACCCTCATATGCAGTACGTGTGTTGGGGACAGAAGTCACCTCAACAAGAAAATGCCAAAAAGAAGAGTTTTAGAAAGGTTTTAAGAAAACACAGAATCAGCCAGGGACTGGGGCCAGGAATTCACGGTGGAATCCCTAGTTAAAGTTTTTAAGTATATTTCAAATGTCCCAATAATTGTTAAAGATGAAGTCACACAAGACACAAGACAAAAATTGTTTAAACAATTGAAAAACCTCTCAAACGCACTGCTTCAGCAGCTGGATCAGACTGTACTGTTCAGGGATAAAAAAGGGGGTATTTATTAATTTCTTCTCTGGTCCTTGATCAAGGGGGCTTGATCAAGGACAAGAAAATCTTGGAGGCCTGGGATTGGCTGATAAATTGGTCATCAAAGATGTCTTGGTGCCAAGACACTCAAATTTTTAAGGGGAGGGGGAAAGTCATTGACAACTTTCATCCGTTTTTTACGCGCGGGTGGTTTTCCACCTGATTAAATATTTATAATTGATTTTCCAAAAGGGGGATGCGGAGCGAGTCCCCAACAATGTGTATTATACATGCAGGGATGAACAGTAGGCATATAGTTGAACAGGCAGCACTTATTAAATGAATTCAAACAAGGACATCGTATGGGTGGGTGCCACGTTGTTTGGTTGTCATCCAGCAGAGAAGTGTAAATATATGATCTTGAAATAGCTATACTGTATAGGTATCATCAGCAGTCCAGTATTTTGGTCATGATTATGAAGATCGTTCGTTTGCACCACCCGACCGACCGATCGATTATTATGACGTGATATATGAGACCACTACTACTACTACAACTACAACTACTACTACTACTGCATATCAGTACACTGCTATACTTACGTACTACGTCACTTCCTGTTGCTGCTGGTGAAGCGGTCCTGCGCGTGGGAAGAGTACGACGTGAAGGGCAAGGAGTGCTACATGACCGGCGACTTGAACTTCAGCACGCTGAGCTGCGTGTGCTACACCGACGGCTGCAACACGGCTGCACCCGCCCTGATGCTGGCCTCCGTGGCCACGTACTTGCTCATCTCTGCTGCTACTGCTCTCATCACCACCACCACCACCATGCATCTCTCATCAGCATGATGCTGCTGATGGTCGGAATACTTGTAGAAATTTGACGCAGAGAGTTTTCATCGATTATTGATTCATTACTTTCTCGCTCAGGCAGATACATAATAATATGAGTCACGATTTGTTGCACCTTTTCTGTTTTTTTTCCAATTCTGCCTACGTATTATATTTCCCTATTTATCCAGCTGCTGTGCATAGTATAATTTTTCAAAAAATTACCCAACGGGGTGTATGGTATAGATGAGAAGAAGGTCATTAACTTTGTGAAAAAAGTGTATTTTTTCTCTTGACTCTTGCCTGACTTGGCAAAAAGATCAATCGAATGCACACCGTGAATACCGTTTTACAAACGTAAGTCATATAAGACATCAATTTAGTGTCTATCGGGTTAATTTGCAAGTGAAGGAGAGTTTTCTGATTTTTAACAAAAAGGGAAAGGACACAGTTATTATTTATACTGTAATGGCTTAAATGCAGCCTGCAGAATATTTGAGATGTGGAGATTTCAGGAGGAAAGCCTTTGAGTTATAGAAAGGTTTTTAATGCATTGTTCCTGGGAGAATTCTGAACAGGATTTGAGAAATAATCAACATTTGGAGGTATTATTGGAATTATCAATAAGGTTCAATTGAATTGCTGCTGGGGTCACTCAAAAGGGTCTGAGATATTTGTATTAAAGTAACATTGTATATTTAAACATACTGCATAACCAAATACTGGGACCCACCTACAGTATAATGTCATGAAAAATTTATATGTTTTTTTCCAAGAAACAAAAATTGTACATGGTCTGTAGTTCAGATATATGAGATATACAGTATATTCCTTACATTTGTGTTGATGCAAAAACTTTGTTTAAAAGCATTTGTCCGCTGTATTTGCATGTTTTTTAGTATAGTGCGTGCGTATACAATGTGATGGCGTAGCATACAGCTCTTGGTTTCAACTACTGTACTTGGAATGTAGCATGTGCTTCCTTTTATTTCATGATACCAGCATCACTGACCTGCTTATGTTTGGTTTTCATCTTTATCAGCTAACTTGGACACCAAACCCAGTGACAATATGTCGCAACTAACCCAAACTCGTTTTTACAACTGCTGTTGCATGGATCTAGATTGACAAGATGAAAGATGCGGTGTGTCAAATGATGAATGCTGGACAAAGGCGCGGAGGAATCATCTTCAATAGAAGGTGGAACTGAAGGAGAAGTGGATATACTGTATATGCTTAGCATGTCTTTGCATGTGTGTGGTACGTGAAGGTGCTAGCTGTTTCTGACGGAATCTTTGACTGAAGATGGATGCAACTCTGGAATCGATCGAGTCAGTGAATCCATTAATTGCAAGACTCCTTTCATCTTTGGAAAAAGAGGACGTGGATTCACACAGCGGCCCGGGTGATCATACAGGCTGGGCAGAAATTCCACATGCACAGGATTACATGCTGGTTACTTCATGCACACAGCTTGGTAAGTGCTAAATCGATCTGCATATTATTTCGTATCTTTACATATCAGCATGGTCTGCAGACTGGTGTTGTGAGTCCTCAGAAGCTGTTTGCTGGCCTGCAGAATTTTTTAAAAACATAACTTAAAGGTATTAATGAATCTATATTATCTTCATCTGAAATTTGAGCAAGGCAATTAATGGCAGTTGAAATTATCCAAGGAAAAGAAAAGATGGTTTTTTTTCCACAATTCTGTACTGTGCTGGAATCCTTCAGAAAAAATGTTATCCTGCTTCTGAAATACTCTATGCAAGTATTAATTTTGAGCAACCTTTTTTGAAACCCTGCTTTAAAAGATTTTTCTACACACTGAAGCTGCTTCATTGGTTCTTGACTTCATTTTCCCCCTGAAAGCTTTCATTGAAGGACTTGATGGTTAATTGGCATTTTAAAAAAAGGCCTGCTGGTCTGAAAAAATTATATCTAACTTTGCCAGTCTGCAAAACACTTGAAGGAAGTGTGGCTGTCTGCAAAAAAGTGTCACTGAAATGTGCTGGTCCCTGATGGGCCGTGGAGGAACACTGCTGCACATGGTATTGGCAAGCCATAAATAGAGGGAGCCACCAGCAGCAGCTACACAGCAGCAGCTCATGTATGGTAATGAGTTGTTGGAGACGCAAGAACTACGGGGTAACCTGATGACGCTTACAATAAGTTGGTTACAACGAGGCAGCTCGAGGGGAAACAAATATATAACAAAATTCGGTGCTCCTATGCTGAATAAGATGGTGGGGGCTCTGGCTACGGCATTGACGAAAATGATTGCAGGACCTTTGAAAAAAAGGAAGGAAGGAAGGAACCCAAGCATTGGAAGAGGGAAACGGGAACGTCTGTGGCGTGGATGCGCCTGTGACACAGGGTTGCCATTGTTCAGGCGCAGGCGCACTTCATGGAGCTCCTCTCAACGTGCGCGCAGTGCGTGTGGCCTTGGTTCTTGAGAATCCCCGGATTAATCATTAGAATCTTGGTCCCTGACCCCCCAAAATCGGTACCAAACTCAGTAGAACCCTGAACCTTCAAAAAAAAAAAAAGGGGGCTGAAAGTGTCCACCCACAGGGACAATGAGTTCAACAGGGGCAAAGAGTTTAGGAGCCAAATGGTGGCCAAAGCCATTATCCTAGTACAGTACCAGTTACAGCAAATAATCGTTTGCAATGAAGCCAATTTTTTATAGATCCCTGCCCAATAATCACAATGTTAAATGCGTTACTTCATAGGAAATTTCTTGTTACAGTGAAAATATTTTTACTGCTGGCCCCCATGGCTTTGTTGTGACAAAACTTTGCCATAATGAAGTACTTTACTGTAGATGCAGCTTATTCAGACCTTTCAGGGCAATGCAAAAAATGATAGAATAGATTATGTTTTCAAAGATAGATATTACTACTTTACAACATATGCTCATTGATTTATGTACAGTATTTCCTCAAAATCAGCATTTAAAAAACTAAAATGACATAATTATTTTATGCTGGGTAGAATCTCTCCACAACACAATTCAAGGGACTGGGAAATATTTGTTCTAGGCTTCAAAGTTGTGAAAAAGTGTATTTTATCCTTTTATTGGACATGTGAGTCTAATTTTATGTTTTACAGCATGGTGTTATTGAGTTCCAGGGACAGGGGTATGCTGGAAGTTGATATACTGTACTATGCCTGTATGGCTTATTATAAATCAATTGTTCCATGTACTGCACTGTAGGCTTGCGTTTTCTTGGTGTTTCATTTGATTTATTTTTTCAGGCATACCCCTGATTGCGCCCAGACATGCGTGTGTCCCCTGATGTGAAACAAGAGGCGCGGGCGCTGTATGGAAACTCTGTGGCAGGTTTGATCAACCAGGCTTTGTTGCAGTGCTGTGCTGGCTGTGAGTGGCAGCTGTGTTACACACTCCACCGCCTGTCCGTCGGTCTGTCTCTCCAATCCAGAGAGAGGACGAGATTAAGTGAGTTCTACGATCAGAAGAGTGGAGTATGTATGCTGGCAGAATAGTAGAGGGAGTGAAAGTGGAGGAAACCCCGGCTGGCCCAAGGAACAGTTCCCAGTTTACCTGCGACATTCGTGGTTGCCGGCCGACGGCGGGGATTAGAATTATGAGGGTGAAGCCGTCGAGGAGGCGAGGAAAATGTAACGATGGTGTGTGTCTGTGTGTGTTGGAGGGGGGTTATGACCTCGCTTATTTATTTTTGAAAGGCGTGTTTGGATTTGGTGTGATGACCTACCTGACAGTGACACTGTTTTATCAAATATTTTCTCTTAGTGGATCCCCTGGCACGAAATTCTTTTTTCTGTAACATTTGCAATAAAAAAAACGGTTTGTTATCGTCTGAGATGAGGCAAGAACTTATTCATATGCTCCTTCTTGGCCTTCTTGAAACAATGATGGAGTATTGGTAGTGGTGGGAAATCCGGATTACTCATCAAGCCTTGGGATTTTCTGCGAACCTCCAACTAAGTAAATCCACTCTTTTCCTGGTTCCTATGGATTTTCCCTGTGAGTTTTAGGCGTTGCGAAGAACATCCAACAGTACTGAATACCCAAGTATGTTTCTACAAAAATTAAAGCAAATCCTATTTTAATATCTTCTTGGGCAGACGCAAAAAAAAAAAAAATCCCGAAGACATTCTCGAGACGCATTACGTTATTGTGAAGTACAAAATTATCTCTCTTATTTTGCAATTTGAAACTAAACCGATAAATGCCGATGAAATAAAATTTCAGCATTGAAACCTCTGAATGGTTCGTGCATCATAACTCCTGAATTTCTGAAAATGAAAAATTGAATGTTCACTTATCAAATCAAAAGTAAGTTTAATGAACTAATTTGTAGTGCAACTTATTCTGGGTAGACAAGTGGTATATGGTGAGGTCTGAGCTTTCAAAATGTTAATCCGATTTATCAATGTGCAAAATAACAACCGATTGATGCTAAAAAAAAAACTTGAATCAAGTGAAGAATTGTGCTTCCAACTCTGTTGAGCAACCTGCGCCGAGGGTATATTTCTATAGGAATTAAAAGGGAATGTTGCGTCTTCCCTTCCTTGCTTATGTGAGCTGATCAGAAAACAAGTCGTTCAGCATCCTTCCAGCAATTAAAGCAGCAGCAGTAGCAGAGAAGTTGCCTATTTTGCGGGGAAGGAAAAAATTTACATTTTTAAAAATCTGTTTGTAAGTCTTTCTATTATCTCATGTTGCGGAATACAATATTTCTTTCCTTCCTTCCTTGACGACAATTAAGCTCCTCCGGATGTGAAAGAAACCTAGAATCGATGCTGTTGAAAATTTGAGTGGATCAAGTCAATTGATGCGTAGATGCGCAATTTTACGACAGGGCTTCTATATCCCGAGACGTACGTGTCTATTATGAAACTTTGGAATTTATTTGAAGCAAAAAGGCAAGCATATAATTCATTCGTTTGAATACTGAGTGCTCGCCGGGATATATACTGATTATACGGGGTTCCTCTGTTATCGAAACCCCCTTTTGGGTGCTTGCGGTATTTTCTGCCATTCATGGTGTTATCAAAGTTTAACAAGTGCGCAGGACGACTTCAACACGGCATCGTTTTGTTGCGATTGCGAGCATTTCCGTGTTATCTTATTCGAAGATTATATTACAGCAGACAGCAGATGGTTTTCTTTCTTATTCTTTTTTTTTTTTTTTTTTTTTTTGCCAGGACGAATGTTTGTGCCTCTATACTGTATATGAAGATGGCACTATATCGAGGTAAACCCGCGGATATACTCTTCGTAAATATGGTTTAATGCTTCTCCTAGCTGCTATATTGTTTTCTTTCGTCCTCATCGTGTTCTGATTTGACAACCCGCTTATTGTGTTATTCATATATACAGTGCGTAGTTCACATACGGTACTTTGGGTCAGATAAATTGCGAATTATTCCCATGCCCGTGCGCTTCTGCTGGTTACCCAATACTTGGGTTATTAGGTTATTCACCGTCGTGTCCACGTTACTCTTGTATATTACTGTGAATCGCAGTTTCGGGAAGGGAAAACAAATGAGTCGACAGCTCATTTTTCATTTTGCGAATCGGATGTTTTTAGACTATCCTCCGCCTATATTTTTGCGTCTCTTTCACGCATGCAAAAGTGTTTGAGTGATGATTTGAAAGTTGATTCGATTTTAGTGGAGATTTGGTTGTTGTTTCTGCGCTACTTAAAACAGCGTATTATAGTTGAAACTCGATAACTGAAACCTCCCCTAATCAAATACAGTACCTCCCTATTTCGATTTTTTTTCAACTTTGCATGAAAAACCTCCCTGATTGAAGGCTTATCCCCTCAAACCGTCATAACTCGAACTTTCTGGAGAGACCTTTTGGCTATCATTTTATTGACACAGAAAAGAGGAAAACAAGAAGAAGAAAAATGTATCTTGAATACACTTGATGTGTATTAATTGAAAAGGAAGTGGAAGACCAATTGGGCAAGTGAACCCTTGCCTCCAAGTTCAGAATCCTGTCAATAACTCATTTGAGAAGCAATTAGACCCAGCAGAATATCCCCAATTACGATTTCCTTGTGATAATAATTCTTGATTCCCCCCCCCCCCCAACAAAAATGATTGTTTGTCTGACTCGAAACCTCCTTGATAACTCGATTTTTTTGCTGGTCCCTTTAAATTTAACTTCCCAATAATTTGGATGAGGGCATCGTTACTCAAATGTTTATTGAAGCAGCTCAAGTTGTTAGTTTGGTCGGATCATTTGTGAAGATTTTCATGCGAGTCGTACGTGTTCGTTCAAACGCGATTGAAAAAGTAAAAATGTGCTGAGTTTCCAGTTCTCCACAGTATATACACAGTCATGTATTCCCTTCTTATTTGCATCGAAGTGAAAAAGTGGACTGCTGCAGTGAACAGTTCGCAAATTTGAAACTCAGTAGAATAATGCAAAGTACAGTGAAATAGTAATTCAATTGAAGTAAGTAAAATGCAGAGCACGTACTGTACTTGAAACGAAAAAGAAATGCAACCTCTCCCGCAGCATTTTCTGAAATGAAGGTTTCCACTTTTGTGTTGTTTGCCTCTGGCATAATTTGCTGAAGAATACGCGGGTGGAAATTCCTCGTTCGAGGGACATGCGAAGAAAGTTCGAAGAAAAATGTTCCACATTTTATGCTCAGAATGCCAGAAAAAAGTGTGGTTTCGTTTCTGAAATCAGGGATTGAATCAATGAGTCCGCATCGGATTAACAACATCACGCAAAATACTTAGATCTTCAAGGGTACCCGTTTTCCAGCAGTAAGGGCTAGCGACACCTATGTCGCGGGACCCTAACATTCTTTCACTCTTTTGGCGCGCTAGCGTCCTCAACTCTCGCGCGCCCCGCCGGGCATTGTAGCCAGGCAGACCAGTGATGGAGTTCCTCAGTCTCCACTCTCCAGCGAGCCTGGATCAAAGTCAGATCCCTTTTGAAAACCCGAACCCTCTTATCGCACAGAGCGTTCTTATACACCGACAATTGCTACTTTTTATATTGTGACCAGATCGACTCATTTGAAAGACTGAATACAACCCACTTCGTGTATATACCCCCCAAGTGTGTGTGATAAGAGTTATATTTCCGTCTTCCGTGCGCGCAATCTCTTATTATACGACCAAAAACAAAAGGAATCGTCAAGGGGAAGCACACGAGCTGATTTTCTCTTTTGAATGCAGCTGAAGGCAAAATTCTTAAAAATGACCAAATGCAGTGAAAAGACTGCCGAAAATTATCCTTTTTTTTCGTGGAAGATCTGGTGCATTTGTTGCATAATTCGAGTTTTTGGTTGTTGTTCTTGATGGTATGTTCTGTCGGGATCCTTGACATAATTGTGCTGCTGTTTGTTATAACGTGATTTGATCCTTAAAATTAATTATCTGTGCCTCTCTTTCTCCCTCTCTCTCTATACGGAATAATGAATAATGACATTGTTTGTTCGCATGGATGCTTTGATGAACACATGTAAAGTGAATAGACTTGGCCATGGCGGAAGACATTGGCGGCGGCGGTGACGAAGAGGACGCCGTGGCGCCGTTGCCGAGTGACATTGCTGCTGCTACTGCTACTGGTGTTGCTAATGATGACGACGACGATGATGATGATGATGCCGGTGGCGGGCGGCGAAAGAAGAAGGTGCCGGTGTCCAAGACCGCCTCCGTTGCCAGCTCCAAGTCCGGCAAGAGTCTGTTATCTATGGCCAACATGTGGCTGCAGCGTCAACAGTCGTCGTCCAGCAACAGCACGTCGAAGCCCTTGCTGGATGACACCAGCAACAACAAGGACGCCGTCATCAAGCAGTGCGAAGACAAGGAGTGAGTGTACAGTACTTATTATTACGGGAATGCTGATAAGTGCGCGGGCTTTCCTTTGCACGCTGTTGACGACTTATCAAAATATATCATGTGTATTACTGAGCAGTATAGTATAGAAGGTCGTTGCAGCGAAACTGATTATAACGAATGAATTTCTGCGACGAATTCTTTGTTGTTGTTGTTGTTGTTTATACGTACCTCTAAAATACTGTAGTGTACTGTACATGGTGTGCACCACAAAACATCGAAATTGATTGATCGCTCACTTAATTTGAAATTCGATCATTAACTGTGCTTAAATCATAATTACTGCCGCAGAAAACTAGACTTCTTGCATTTTTGTGACAAGGGAAAGGTTGAATAAGAAAGAAACGTGTATCTGCAAGAATACCATGAGAATTCCTTTCGCCGTTTTCCCCCTAAAAAAAAAAAATTGGCGCAATGAGGATGAATCCGATATTGGGCTCCGGAAATCTGTTTTCGTTTATGCCGAAGAGTGCGGCATGCACAGTATTACACGTATAGTGGAATGTATACCTCACATTTTCGAAATTATTCCTTCGCAGCATGGAAGATATAGGAAATATTCAAAGCGGAAGAACATTTTCCAGTAATAATAAGGCAAGGTATAATTACTGAGCATATTTTCCAAGTCGTCGCGTGAATATTGTGCCGGAAAGTATATTACGTATTCAGTCCTATACGGTTCAAATGCCATTTTGAAGTGGCATCTATATACTGTACATAACTGATGAGCGATATATTCGATGAGGAATGCATTAAACGATGGGTGTGTCTGCTGTTTTTCTTCCTTTTCCCATGGTCCTTTGAAATCGGCGTGACCCGAACCAACAGCGGCTTCGACTGCTTCCAGCTGTTCCAAGTAAGTGCAATGCTCTCGCATTTTATTGACGCAATAGCATGACAATTTACCATGGGTAGGAACTGCAGGAAGTCGTATTGTAGCAAAGTCCTGTTTAATATATGTACACGAGGAATCCCTGTATTTCTTCAACGAGGCTCAGTGGTCTAGGGGTATGATTCCTGCTTTGGGTGCAGGAGGTCCCGGGTTCAAATCCCGGCTGAGCCCGATCTTTTTCTCATGCTCATGCAGTCCTTCGGCGAACGACGTACATTAGTTATTCGAACAAGGAGCAGATGGAAATGAAAATACCTTGTACATTTCAGAGTATACGAAATTACATTTATAAAATGAATGCTATTAAAATATTCATTTTCAATATGCTGACTTTTATTTTTGAGATTAAAGTATAAGCCTTCTCATTATTGAATATTGCTAATGATGAATGGAGAATAGGGAAAAAATTCATTGTTGAAACGTACGGTATATACGAGGGTTGTTCCAGTTCTGATTGACGTTGGGAATTTCTAGAATAAGTGCTGTTTCGAAAAAAAAAATCTAGTCCATGCAATTTATAAGCTAGGTTTAGGTTCTGGGAATTTTTTTCAGATTTTTATACAAAGTTTTAGATTTACTGCATGATGGTAAGTGAAAACTTTCTGGTTTTGGCAAGGGTTTTCCACTCCTGTCACAAGTTGTCAAACATTTTTCAGGCCAGATAAAACCAATATCTGAAAACATTTTTATCTGGCCTTTTTGTGTTATTGAAAACACAAGCACAAGAAAACAACATAAAATTTTCAAAATTTTCTCTGGCGTAAAAAATGTGTGACAACTTGTGACATATGACTCATGAGTGGAAAACCCTTTCCAAAACCGGAAAGTTTTCACTTACCATCATGCAGTAAATGTAAAAATGTGTATGAAAATCTGAAAAAATTCCCAGAGCCTTATAATTAATTACATGGGCTAAAAAAAATTTAGTGGCACCTATATATTCTAGAAATACCCAAGGTCATGAATCAGAACTGGGACAACCCTCGTATATGTGAGATGTGTATATAAAATATCGGATCGAAGAAGAAATGTTTGCTTTTCATATATACTCCTTGAAAGGTTTTAATAAAAGAACTGTGTTTCTATATTGGTTAATCGTGTACTGTACAGTATTTGTTGTAAGTCGCATTAAAATCGTGAATGTTCACTTACTGTGCAACATCCTGAATATTGCGTCTATTATTGTATATTATTTGCAGGTCGGGCATCGGTCATGTGCCAAACTGGACGTGAAAGTCGTCAGGGGCGAGAACATCTCCAAGGGTTCCTGGAAAGATTTCTGTGAGTTTTCGTATAGCATTATGACTTTCGTATATATATATATATATATATACAATTTTGTTCGTTATTGGTAATATACCGCGTGCACTCTGCATCACGATGATGATGATGATTATAATAATTTGTTTCGTGTGTGTCATCATCGTACCGCGTATATTATTTCAACTCGATCGACGATTATAATGAATATGTGCATTCATCATCGCATGCACTGTATATATACTGTATTTATATACGTTTCAGTCGACAAGCCTGACCCCTATGTGCGACTGCGAGTGCCGAAAACACCCAACGGGTGGAAGGAGACGAAGCCCGTCGACAACAATTTGAACCCGGTGTGGGATGATGAGTTCGAGTTCTTTGTGGACCTCGAGGAACAGAGTGATCTCGTTTTGGGTACGTAATAGTGAGAGATGCAGCATCAACAATGATGATGATGATGATAATATTAATGCGTGCTGCTGTATGTATTGCTGTAACACTATACGTCAATTGTTTGAAGAAATCGTTATTTGCTTCATGTACTGAATATATATACTGTATATATAATCGACGACTATACTATATGTATGAGAGGATATGATGTGCCATTTACTTACTTTTTTCCCTTTCTTTCTCTCTCTCTCTCTCCATTATTTGCATTCATGTGTATATATACTGTATATACATACACTTGGTTACGCGTCATCATCTGCATCGAATGGATAATAAGAACAGAAGTTGTAGTTGTTGATTCAAACATTACCAAAGACCATGTGATTGGACGTGCCACGATCCCGTTCCGTCCGGACATTGAACCGCATATCGTGCACGAGAAGAAGATCCCCATCAGAAAGGTTCGAGTTTTATTTTCCACACTCTATAAAATAATTATTCATTTTTTTTAAAAAATTAAGAAAAGATCGTGCAGTATACTGCATGTATACTTTACATGAAAGTATAAGAATCATGAAATGACAGAATTGAAAAATTACGGTTGGATTATTGTGCCTTGCATTGTGTTTTATTGTGTGCATCTTCTGATGTTTTTGATTATATGCTTGTCTTGCTGGTCGTCACAGTAAAATAGACAATAAGAACGTCTCCTCAAATTAATTTTAAATTTTGATCGATTAACTCATGTACAGCAGGTGTTTGGCGTTTTGGTCTGATGAAGTATTTCGCAGTTGATCCTTTGCCGCAATATTTTTACAGTATGTAATTCGTGGTTTCCATTTCTTTATTAACAGGGATTTATCCACATGGAGCTGCTGCTGACGCCTCAGTGAGTACTGTATATACTATTCATTTTTAATTGTTGTATGCAATAAGGTACGAACGATATTTGTGTAATCAATTCATGATTCGCCAGCAGGTCGTATATAGGATTAGGATTGCCCTTTATTTGTATTAAAACAATTACGTTTAGCAGATTTTCTCATCGATTGTTCCTGAAATAAGTAAAAGTATAAGAAAAAATAAATGTCCCTTCGGTAAGGGAAATGGCAGGAATTTGCCTGTAAATGACAACTGCATGTACTGCATATATTCCCTCTTTAAACATTACTTGTACTGTATTAACAAACGTGATGAGTCTAGGATCGGACTTTTATAATACAGTACTGCAGTACTATTGTACAGTATTTTTGTATTTGTACAAGTGTTATTATTTTAATTTCCCCGTTATTCTAATTTTTGCGACGTATTGCATCATCATCAGAGCCGAGTCCGACTTGCGGTACAGTCTGGCGCTGTGCCAGGGCGAGAAGGAATTCCTGAGGAAACGCTGCCCGCACGTGTTCAAAGCAGTTCGGAACCTGCTGGGGCCCAACTGTCCCGATGCCCCGGCCAACTACGGTGAGGTTCGTGTCATGATCCGTATACGACGAGAAACTCTCCGCGAAAATCGTGTTCTCTGTCTCCATCTCTCTTATCATTCTCGCCAGACACTTTCCAGCAGACATAAGTAAACAGTTAGAGGCGGGAGAATTTGGCTACTATGTTCAAAGCGTATATACATATACATGTATATAATACTGCAGTACATACTTGTTAGACTATATAGAGATGAAGCATCTGCTTGTTGCTGCATCCGCGATTCTGCCTCAAGTGAAAGTTTTTGCCATTCTTTGTACAGTATGTTGAATGAAGCGTACAAATCTGTTGTATTACAGTATTGTAATTTACTTCGGGGGAAGATTTTATGACGATCTTCAAACAGACCTGTTTTTAAATATCATTTAGTAATGTGTCACCGAAAGAAATAGCTTATAGTGTCCTACGTCATGTGAATAATACTGCTCTCTATATTTGCAATATCTGCCTAGCAACTTGCTGCCCTGAAGCAGACAAGGACACCGCATGTCCTAGATGCACTGTCTGGTTCCCGGTCATTTGCCCGGCCCCCTTTCTGTTCCCCCGTTTTAGTTGCACAAGCACGTCTGGGTTATTCCAAATCTATAAAGGTACCGCGAAGTGTATGTGTCAGCATTCATTGCTGGTTTGACTCTTGTTGGTTACAGCTCACAGAAATATATACGTATTCACTTAAAGAGAAGTCTAGATTCACTTTTACCCCAGCCATAAAGAATTAGGAATCTTCTCGACAGAACGTTGTCCTGGAAGGATTAAATTTTGGATTAATCGCTCAAGAAAGGAAGACGTTTCTTTCTGGACAAAAGTGTCTTGAGTTTATTCTTTCGCCGATTTAGGATAACAAATGTATATACCGTACCTGTTTTGAGTATCAATTCAGAATTGTCTTCTCGTTTGAAAAACACTTGGAAAGAAAATTGACAATTTCTGGTGATGGTATATAACACTGACCTGCGTGTACAATTCAAAGCATATACACTCTGCACCAAAAAATACTCATAAAAGTGAGACCCCCATGCAGATGCAAACGTAATTGATGGTGCATCAAGAGTGTGTTGAATTGTCCCTAAGTCAAGTCTTGTTCTCCCATAGACTTACATTATTAACATTTTTAATTGGTGTTTTATGGAAGAAGTGTACTCCAGAATTCCATAAAAAAAATGGTTTGCCACTATGAATTTGATCCTGTGAATATATTTTCAACTCAATAAGAACACTTGGAGCATTGAATAGTGTACATTGAAATGTTGGCATCTTCAAAAATAACATTCAAGTCACAAAGAGAGAAGGAAGTCCCTCTATGTTGCAATAGGCAATTTTTTTTTAATTAGCTGAATGGATGGGAAAATGATGGGAGGAATGACAGAGGATTTTTCTTGCATAAATCTAAGGGTTGGAAGTATCTGTTTCTTGCAATCAAGGCAAATAAAAGTCAATTTTTGTGAAATTCATTGGCAATTGTATCATGCAATATGTCCTCATGTTGAGTCAGTGTCCATACAATGGGCCTTTTTTATGCCCTTCTTATTGAAAAATAAATGTTCCCAAGTCAAATTGTCCTCATGTCAAGGTGTCTGCATGTGGGGGTCTCACTATAGTTTTAATACTGTACATTTATTACTCTGTATATGGAAGTTGAACATGATTTACAAAGTAATTTGTATTATGATTTATGCTGTATTAGTGCATAATATAGATATACGGTTCAGTGGTTGAACATATACGGTACGTTCATAATCAAGGACCCTTTTTAAATCGCGTCGATGTGATACAGTAATCATGAATACATTAGAGCAGATACAGTTTTTTGTTGGGACGGAATTACACCTGTAATAATATGCCTTGGGCACATTTTATATACTCTGCTTATTGTACAGTAGCTTATATAGATGAATATGACGTGCTGATAATATTACAGGGGATCCATTACATTTTTTTAATTGGCCGGTTTTTTTAATGAATTTAATGTAACTTTTTGTGTCCTCGCTGTCGCCTTTTGTATATGCTGTTTGAACATAAACATTGCCAAATGAATATTTTTGGATATTGCATATACATTTATACTGCATATGTATATAGGTTCCCATAGTCGCTGTGCTGGGCTCTGGCGGCGGGTACCGCGCCATGGTGGGCATGCTGGGTTGCGCCAAGGCCATGATGCGATCCGGGATCTGGGACTGCGTCACGTACGCGTCTGCCCTGTCCGGCTCTTCCTGGTGAGTGAGTGAGTGTGCGTGACTGAATGCTGTTGCTAGTTGTAGGTTCTTCTTCTTCTCAGCATGGTGTGTGTATCCATGCTGCTGCTGCTGCTGCTGCCTATACACGGAACTGCTTTTTGCCACCGCTGTGGATATACATACATACATACGAGTACAGTATACTGTACACGTATTAGTGTGCTGTATATACCCCCACGCGCGGTCATCATCCTCATCACGACCAGCAGAATCAGTAGCACACCAACGTAAATGAATGAATAAATAAATAAATAAATGTGTATTTATGTACATACAGTACTGTATGTGATGCACCCCCGCGCTATAAATGCGATTCCTGCTGCTGCTGGTCAGAGGCAACTTCAGTATTGCATCCGCGAAAATTTAAACTACAGCCGAACCTCTCTTATACAGTGTGTTGAATTTCAAGGGAAAAAACATCGACTTAAAAAAGATAATCCTCAACACTGTAGTGTATACTGTAATGATCCTGCGCAGGTTCCTGTCCACCCTCTACTCGCACCCCGAGTTCCCCGGCAACCCCGACGCCCTGCAGACCGAATTGCGCGTGAACGTGACGGAGCGGGACTGGAATGTGTATCCATGCTGCTGCTGCTGCTGCTGCCTATACACGGAACTGCTTTTTGCCACCGCTGTGGATATACATACATACATACGAGTACAGTATACTGTACACGTATTAGTGTGCTGTATATACCCCACGCGCGGTCATCATCACGACGACCAGCAGAATCAGTAGCACACCAACGTAAATGAATGAATAAATAAATAAATAAATGTGTATTTATGTGCATACAGCACTGTATGTGATGCACCCCCGCGCTATAAATGCGATTCCTGCTGCTGCTGGTGGTCAGAGGCAACTTCAGTATTGCATCCGCGAAAATTTAAACTACAGCCGAGCCTCTCTTATACAGTGTGTAGAATTTCAAGGGAAAAAACATCGACTTAAAAAAGATAATCCTCAACACTGTACGTGTACTGTAGTGTATACTGTAATGATCCTGCGCAGGTTCCTGTCCACCCTCTACTCGCACCCCGAGTTCCCCGGCAACCCCGACGCCCTGCAGACCGAATTGCGCGTGAACGTGACGGAGCGGGACTGGAAGAAGAACCTGAACGCGTCGAGGGTCGTCAAGTACGCCCGACTCATGGCCCGCAAGCACGCAGCGGGCCAGCCCGTCTCCTTCACCGACTTCTTCTCGCACATGCTGGCCGACGCCATCATGCCGGAGGCGAGTCATATTGTTATTGATGTTCTTCTCCTCATCATTCTCCTGATCGTCGTCGTCGTCGTCGTCGTCGTAGTGACCATCATGGACTATCTTTCTCTCTCTATATATATATATACAGTACGTATATAGGAAGAATTTCAATAATTGTGACTCGCGAAAAATTATTTATTGTCATCTACTGTGTATTAAAGAAGAATAAACCCCTTATTATACATGACACATGGTGGGAAGAGAAGAGAACCACGCGAGAAATCATTTTATATATTTACAGTATTTATATATATGATAGACACGACAGCTGTTGCATATATAGAGAGAGACAGAGAGTCCGCCTGTATAATTTGTATGCGTATGTAATGTACATGCAGTCTATAGTAATAGGAGCAGCATATGTAATGCAGGGTTGTTTAAATTGTAAGTTGGCAATAATTATTATGGACTCCAATAATTAACCGAATGATTATCATTCTATGAAGAGTGAGACCCCGAGATGCGGACACATTTTGTGCATCACAAGTGTCCCTAAGTTGAGTCTTGTTTTCCCATAGGCTTACATTATATAATTTTTAACTGGTGTTTTGTGGAAGAAATATTCTTCAGAATTCCCTGAAAAAATTTGTTTGCCAAGTACTTGAATGTGAATACATTTTCAACTCAATAAGAACATTTGGAGCATTGAATAGTGTATCTCTGTACTGTACACTGAAATTTTGGCATCTTCAAAAATAACATTCAAGTGAAGAAAAAGTCAAAGTCCTTCTATGCTGGAGGTAATTTTTTAAATTAGCTAAATATGGATGGAAATTTTGTGAGAGAAATGCCCAAGAACTTTTCTTACATCAATTTTAGGGTTGGAATTATCAGTTTCTTGTAATTTGTCCTGAAATGTATTTGCAATTTTATCACAAAATGTCCCTCTGTTGAGTCAGT